CAACCGGGCTCCGGTCTCCGTTCTCCCCTAGAATTTCAGGAGGCTTCAGACACCTACAATACGTAGGCTTTAGACGTCTTACCCCAAAAGCCTTCGAAGTAAGTGCTTGGGTCCTATGGACACGAAGAAAAGGGCCCTTGAACAGGAATAAACGCCTAAACCCTAGAATCCTAGAAGGACCCTACATCAACCCTGTATAAAAGTTGCAAATATCCTTTTGCAGGTCGGACCTTGCATAAGGCCTCTATGTGTGTGTGTGTATATATATATATATATTCAGACACATACCTGACAAGCAACCTTATAGACACTTATTGGGAACCGTATATGTTGAAAGGAGGCTTATGTAAGCTTTTTGAAACTCTATATCACACCGCATACAGTAAATCAGCCAGAGCCAGGCGCGGGGTGCCCCGCGCTTTGCCGTGGCAGCTCGCAGCTTCGGCAGCTCGGCGAAGGCAGCCAGCAAGAAGGTTTGTGTGTGTGTGTGCGTGAGTGAGTGTGTGAGTGTGTGTGCCGTTCTAGCTCATGAACGAAGGGGAGTCACTTCTCTTCCTGAAGCAGGGGACAGGCCTCCTATCAAGGCAGACACTCCCAGAAAGGGTGAACACGTATCTGCTTTGGTGTGTGCGTGGGCCCCGTCGTGGGCAGCTGGCGGGACCTTCATCCTCACGATCATCTTCATCTGACTTCATGCTACATCGATCCCGGTCTGATGTAGCGGGTCAGAACTCGTACGAAACCGTACTCCATGCAGATCATCTCATCCAGTTGTGATTGCCATTCCTTGTGTCTGGCATACATGGTACCAAAATCTTAGTCTCCTTGTCGTCACACAATCATCACCAGCATCATCACGCCGTCCATGACTGCACCTATCCTTTGAGAAAAAACGTGTCCGTCTCTCTCTCTCTCTCTCCCTCTCTCTCTGTATGTGTTTGTGAGAGAGAGGTGAAGCCTCATGTCCGAATGATGTTCAGGGAAGCGCTCGCATGACTTGTCGTCCTGCAGTTGTAGGACTTTCCACTTTTTGGATTTTTTCCGTTCACGCTCCAAGTTGGGTTCGGGGCTTACACCTGCGCAAAAGTTCTGTAAGAGTTTAAGGGGCTGAAAGGCGATCTCGAGGGGATACTTTGGGTTCTCTCCGGTAAAGACTTTCTTGCATGAACGCCCCAGGTACCTACTATATAGGGTACTAGAGCCCCTATAGGGCCCTATATAGCAGGCACCTGGGGGGTTAGGGTTCCATGAACGCTGAATTCTGAGGGCTTCTTTGGGTCTTGATTGAGGCTGACTGCGGGACCTCCCAAGCTGCCCCGAATAGACACACTAGAAACATTGTGGCTTAGGGTTTAGGCTTTAGGTCGATACCCCTATGACTATTTAAATTGCCATGTGAGGGTCGGAATAGAAATACTATGGTTTGGATGACAATTTCAAGCAGGTCTTACATGAACCTGTGTACAGGTGGCCGTGATACAGGACCAGCAGATTCCCAAGGACGAGGCGCCCATCCCGTTTGGGGTTTAGGAGTTTTCGGTTTAGGGGTTTAAGGTTTAGGGGTTTAGGGTTTTAGGGTGTAGGGTTTCGAGACTGTTGGGTTGCTAAACAGGGTTTAGGTTGCAGGGTTGTATGCTTCATAGTGCTGTCCCTGTCTATGGGACCACATATGTGTTCAGCGCCTGAAGCTACCAGTGAGCCATAGGACCTGAAACCTGACTCCAACTTCCGAAGCGCAGCTTTTCCCACCTTCCCTTCTCGATCTGTGACATATGAGGAGATACTGCCGGCAGTCGCAGGCTGCAAGTCCCACATCCCAGTTCTGGACCATGTCAGTGCCATTTCGCATTCTTCACCATGCAAAGTGCCCCAGAATGCCAAGCCAAGCATGTAGGGATGCCCAGGTCAAAGTGAAGCATGATGTATCTGAGCTTCTGCTTCGGTTCGGGTTCTAGGTTCCTGAGCCTTCTTCTCGCTCTCAATTTCAAGTTCATGAACAGCATACATATATATATAATATAGATTCTAGATAGATAGCTAGGCCGAGAACAGATAGGCAGATCGTCTTGTCAGGGTTTGTTGATTCCGGAATCTGCATTCCAAGCTTCGGAGTGGCACTCGAAGTACCGATCGTAGGGCCTCACCTTCCTGGGCACTATATCCGCAGCTTTCCTCTTGGGACAACAGAGCTTGCAACCCAAACTCCATAGGTGCCCGTGAAGCCTGAATCTTCTGCAGCCATCTGGCTAAAAGCTTAAATTATGCTCGCAAAGAGCGCGGCAGCAGCCAAGGCCAGCTTTTGATGTTCACCTGAAAAGCCACAGCGCAGTCGCATCAGAAACAGACTGGCTTGCCGCTTGTCCCGCCTACCCACGTCGGGCTTAGTTGGGCTTGCCTTTGCACTTTAAAGCCTTTGCGACGACAATGTTTAATCAAGCAAAAGCATGCCAATACCTATCGTCCTCGAAGGATCTACATCGATACCCGAGACGCTTCCCTCTGCATCGGTTATCATGTACACTTGAGGTGTGAGCATCGGGAACCCGAGAAACCCAAGCCGCACCTCACCGCACAAATGCCCATTGGCATGGTTTCTCAGCTCCTCTCCTCGCACCCAAGTGAAGCTGCAACCTCGTGCCCTACAGGTTACCCCACACCTTTCAGTCCCAAATACAAACTACGACCCTAAACCGCATAAGCTCTAAACCCGAAAACAGAAGTCACGATCCTAAACCCTGACTCCAACATGGAATCTACACCCTAAACCCTAAACCCAACACAGAAGCAAAAACCTTGCGGATTCCTTCGCTCCTTTGCAATGGCCCGTGCTCGGGTCTTTGGCCGCGGGCTCTCGAGCAATTTGCTTCTGCGAGGCCTGGCCCTTAGTGTAAGTTTCCATGTACCCTTTCTTTAGGTTTCGTTTAAGGGTTCATTTCAATTTCCACAAGGGGTTTATACGTATACGAGTTCTACAAGGCTTCCAATGAGAGTTCCGTAAGGGGTTCCATGCTGGTCCTGGCTTCTGTAAGGTTTCGGGTCCAGGCATGCACTTTTGCTTCAAAGTGGTTACGGTATATGGATAGTAGCATACGTTTCGGCCCGTCAATGATCCCTGCAACCCTTTGACAGCTGCCACGGGTAGGATTCTAGACAGGCTAAGTCATTTTGCGGCCCCTCCTCCCGACACTACACCTGGTGCGATCCTCAACCCCTCAATGCGAGTTCTAAAGCCCCAAGCTCTAAACCGTACAGCCAGCACCCTAACGAACGATTTTCCAAGGACCTGAAACCCGATAGTCTTATTACGTCCTATGAAAGTCTCTGGGGGCCTAATATGCCCCCCAAAAAAGGTCCGAAACGGGACCCATGACTAAGCTGAATCTTGGGCTTGTTGTAGCGCGTAGGGTTAGGCTTTGTAGCGGTTAGGGATTCTCGGGGATCTGTCAGGGAAAGGCACTCTGGGTTCATGGGTCTAGGGTACGGGAGTGTTGGGTCATGGCCTAATTCAGGCCTATGCGATTTTCCTGTCATTAGAGTATATAATATTATAGTCATAGGTCATAGGTTTAGGGGGCTCGGTTTGGGAATAGTGTTTCGGTGTAAGGTTCTGGGTCTCCTTCGAGCAGTCTACGTTGGAAGGGTTCCGAAAGCCAAGTCAGACGGTAGGTCCTAAGCGCAGCTCAACATGAAATCCGAATGCCCGCATGGGTAGTTCCTTAAATTAGGTTCCCTGTTTAAATATAGGTCCCCAATATAGTACGGCACCCATATAACAAGGACCGTAAACCGGGCCCTTGTTTAGAGAACTACCCATATTCAAGGCTAACAGTTCTCATCTCCAACACCTTCGGTTCAAGGGCTAGGGCTTAAACTAGCCAAGTGCCAGGTACTGGACACATAAGCTTTAGCTTTTTTCGAGGAAGACTGACAATCCATGGCGCAAGCGCTTAAAGCAAGGGGATCAGAACAACCAAAGGAAGCTCCAACACCTCCACCCCCTTCAGCCCTTGACAGACTGAACGCTGAACCCTGAACCTTCAGGACCCCCAAGCCCCAAGCCCTAGACCCCAAGCCCTAAACCCTAAACCCCAAACCCTAAACCCTAAACCCCAAACCCTAAACTCCAATCCC